TCTGAGCAACAGTGCAGCCAAGCGAGTGTAACAGCGTTGGAAAGGGTGATACACTACGACCGGTGGGAACAATCAGTGCCTGCAGTTTATCTCATTCGCATGCTGCGAGAGCCAGGGTCGCCACCACATAGGCAGGAAAAGCCCCCGACAGACGCCAGCGTTCTTTCCCGATAAACATCTCTCAGCGAACTAGGCACGGAAGGGAATTTCCCCTCCTGATGAGGAGTGTCCACGAGAACCCTACAGGCAACATCGCACTTCGCAGAGAAAGACGGAACGCGCTCCCCTGGGCTCAGGAGCAGGCCGCGCGCCCCCTCCCACCACTCGCGTGCAGCCTCGTGCTGGTGAGTTTCAACAGGTGACTCTCAGGCTGGAGGGGAAAAAGGAGACCTCTGTTCATAGGTGATCTGGTTGTCTAGGTAGAAGCTCTGACAGGATTTCCCATAAAAAAGCTGTTAGAACCAGTAAGTGAATTTTTCAAGGTTTCAGGACATGAGATCAATATACAGAACTCAAATGCATTTCTGTATGGCAGCAATAAAAAGTTGGAAATTGACTCAAGAATCAATGCCAGTGAAGTACAGTGGCATCACAAATATGAACCCCTTAGGGATGTGTGTGCCCTCACACTGGAGCCCCGTGGAGAAAAGCTAGAGTCCCGCAGTACGCCGAGAGGCAGCCCGTGCTCACGGGCCAGAGGACAGTACTGTTCAGTACTGTCACCTCTCCCCACATTGACTTGTGGATTCTGCACAGTCCTAGTCCCAGCCCCAGCCGACCTTTTTGGTAGGAACTGGCTTGCTGATCTCAGATTCAGATGAGAATTCTAAGAACTTAGAAATGACAAAACAACTTTGAAAGAAAACAGAACTGGAGCCTTTAGTATTTAACTCAAAGACTGTTTTAAGGCTGTAGTAATTGAGACCATGTGGCATCAGTGTGAAGATAGGCAAATACATCAACTCAACACAACAGAGTCCAGGAACACGAGGTCTGTCTGGAAAAAGTCCAGCCTTTGTTAATATAACGAGAATAGTTTGTGCGACATCGATGTAACCTGGCAGCCAAGGAGAGTGGACTGGAATGCGCATACGTGAACAAAGATGACTTCCCTGGACTGGTCAGTGGGGGCGATAGACGCCTGTGAGTGAGCATGTGTATTGTGTGGCCACTGCATTCAAAATGACTGAGTGATGATGCCCTGGCTGGTGTGGCTCAGTGGACCGAGTGCCAGCCTGCGAACCAAAGGGTCGCCAGTTCAATTCCCAGTCAGGGCACATGCCTGGGTTGTGGGCCAGGTACCCAATAGGGGGCGCTCGAGGGGTAACCATACACTGATGTTTCTCTCCCACTCTCTCTCCCTTCCCCCTGCCTAAAAATAAATAAGATCCTAAAAAAACAAACAAAACAACAAAATGAGTGAGCAGAGAGATACATTTGCATCAAATTTTGTGTTAAGCTTGAACATTTCTCCATAGAAACTATTCAGATGTTCAGAAGGCCACAGCTATGGGCAACTGGTGATTGGCAGCTTCATCACAACAATGCACCTGCTCATGCATCACATCACATCTGTTGCAGAGTGTTTTTTTTTTGGCAAAACACTAAATCACCCAGGGGACTCAGCCCCACTACAGCCCAGATTTGGTGCCCTGCAATTTCTGGTTTTTCCCAGAACTAAAATCACCTAGAAAGCGATTTCACACTGTTGATAAGACTCAGGAAAATACAACGGGGCAGCTGATGGAGACTGGGAGAACTGTGTGAGGTCCCCAGGTGCCTGCTTTGAAGGGGACTGAGACGTCATTGTCCTGTGTGCAATGTTTCTTATCTCTTGTATCTTCTTTGATAAATGTTTCTGTTTTTCATAGTACATGGCTGGACACCTTCTGGACAGACCTTGTATATCTACATGTCCATTGTCAATTTACTTTCAACAGAGGTGCAAAGGTAATTTGGTGGGAAAAGGGCATTTTCCACAAATGCTTTTAGAATGATTGGATAGCCAGGGACAAGAAATGAACTTGGATCCATACCTGACATCATTTGCAAAAAGCAGTTCAGAAGGATCATGGATGTAAACCCTGGAACTGTGGCTTGTGCAGACGAGACTTGGGAGGAAGCCTGTGACATCGGTCCAGGCGGCATTTTCTGGGGTAGAGGTGACCCATTAAAGCATGACCTGTAACAATGAACGTGATAAATCGGACTTCATCAAAATGAAGAAAGTTTGCTCTTTGAAACCAGCTGTTCAGAGGATGAAAAGACAGTGCGCAGACTGGCAGGACATACCCTCGGGTGACAGGTCTGAGGAGGGACTTGCGTTCAGCGCAGACCGAGACCTTGCCCGACCCGGAGCCAGCGGACCGCAGACCGCAGGTGTGCAGGGATGCCCCCGGAGAGCACAGAAGTGCGTGGCAGATGCGCTTATGAGGAGATGTTCACCGCCGGACCTCCCCGTTGGGGAGTCGCAGGTCAACAGGGTAGGGGGCTCCCTGCACAGCCACTGGAGTGGCAGAGGCTGCAAGATCGCACACGCCCTGTTCTGGCGAAATGCGGGTGAGATTCGAGCTCTGCTGCTGGGGTGTAAAGTCTCACAACCACTTCGGAAGACATTCCAGCAGTTTCTCAGAGCGTCGAACACACTTGTGTCTACTCGGTGACCCAGCTGCTCCACACCCACGTGCTTGCCCCAGGGAGGTGCGGGCATGTGCCACGGAGAGCCTCGAACGCGGGTGTGCTGAGCAGGCTCCGTGGCAGACCGGGAGCAATCCAGGTTGCAGGGGGTGGCTGCAGTTCCCTCCCAGAATTCGATCTGATTCGTAGGAAGGACAGACTACTGACGCACACCACAGCTTCGAAAAGTCGCAAGTTGTTATGCTCGGTGACAGAAGCCAGACAGAACCAAGGGTACGCACCACACGTACTGTGTGTGTGCAGTTGTGGAAACACAGCCTTCCCTACTGGCATGGCTCGGGCTGTTGGGAGGGGGGTGAGGAGTGGCGGCGGCCGTGAGTGCGGGCTGGGAGGAGGCGACGGCTGGGCATGTGCGTTACCTTGTTTGTGGCGATGCTGTCCCTGGGGAGCACATCTGTCCAAGTTCATGAGTTGTACCCTTTGTGTAGTTATGTCCATTATAATAACTCAGTAAACCAGAGTTCACGCTTTTGCTTTTCATACATCGTGATTTCCTTCCTTTTGCACTGGCAGTGGAGAATCCGTTCTAAGTCTCCTTCCTTGGTTTGGCCCGTGAGCTCTTACAGAGGGGGTGTTTCTCTGTTAACATTGGCGACATAGATCGTCAGGTCCATTCACACAACTCAGGGACTGAGCTGTGCTGGTTGTCCCACCGCGCTGGTTCCCTCACCTCCCCACACCGCCTGCAGACAGGGTCCTTAGCCTTCCCCTCGAGGTGGGGACCCGTGAGTTGGCAGACTGCCACCCGGGCTGCAGGCGGGCAGGAGTCCAGGCAGCCCTGGCACTGCAGGGTGAGCAGGTGGCCGCCATCCTGCAGGCTCTTCAGGTTGTTAGTGCAGCAGAGTGTCCGCTGCGGTCACGGCCCCTCTGACAGGAGACCGGCCCGTGGCGTTGCCGGGCTGGGGAGGAGAAGAGTGCCTTGGAACCCTTGTCATGTTAGAAAGTTCTGGTGAAGGTTTTCTATTGGAAGGTGTAAGACGTTGTCTGAAACGTTTTGTAAAACATTTTATTTCCTGCTAAGGTAAGTGTATTGTTAGTTTTATTAAATCTGTGGCAATTTTTTAAACAGTGTGAGCTGACTTGGTTACTGCTATTGCCCTACCTGCTGGAGGAGGTAGAACTCTCCCAGTGGCCGGTGCGAGCACCACACAAGCTTGTTCGGTTGGGGTGCCACGCTGTGCTGTTCTGAAGGGGCCTCGGGCGGTTGCTGTGGGCCCTGCGAGCTCAGGGCAGACCCCCGTGCCTGGAGCGCACGCCGCCCGGGCAGTGGTGTCTGTTACGCTTGCCCAGTGCCGTGTCTCGGTGGCCGGATGGCCCGTGCCTTGTGAACAGGGCGAGGACGGAGCGGCAGTTGTCCACGTCAGAAGCACTGACTTGTAACTGTAGCGTAGTTTTCATCTTTGTCTCTGAAGTTCATAAATTTTACGAAGAGTGCAACCATCATTTTGAAAGTAAGTTTTAAATTTTGGTGCTTTACCTTTCATGAGCAGGAGATGCTCAGCCAAGTACTGTCCCAAGGACACAGGCAAAGGCCTTTTTTTCTGAATCTGTTCTCAGCTGCTTTTTACTGTGTTTTTCCGAGACGTGCAGCATATGCCAGCGAGGGAAGGGCTGTGGGAGCGTGCCTGCCTGTCTTCCCTTTGCTTTCCCACGTGGCAGTGCACACCGAACCACCTACGAGGGGTGCTTTTCAGACACCCCAGGAACCAGCACTGCCACTGGCTGCCCTGTGGCTTCCGCACGCTGTGACCCGCCTTCGCTGCGGGTGTGGGGGCGTGGGGGGCGGTGCTGGGACGAGTGAACGGGTTTGCATCCTGTCCCTAAATCACTCAGACCAGCACTTGGCACGGAAGGGCTCCATAAATGCTAATTATTCCTTTTAGGGTTTTAATGAGGCTTAAATTAAATGAGATTATTCATGTAAAATGCTTAGTAGAGTATCTGGCATTTATTAAGTGCGCCATAAATGCTAGTGGCTCTAATTCAAATATTCAGGTGCCAGTGTGTCGAAAGAGGCTGTGTCTCTGGGTCTCTACGTATGTCGTATCTCTAGTGCATTTACGTTATTGCGTGAGGAAAGATTTCTGTATTGGCCGTAACCAATAGGTGCATGTCATGCAGTTACAAAAACTTTAAATGATTCCTTTCTGATTTCTAGGGTTAGGTCATTGGCTAGGCCGCTCTGTTTCTGCCGTGTTTTCACTGTTCAGGAGCACAGCTCTCTGACCGGCACCGCCGGGGGCGAGGTGCGCCCTTGGCCAGGCCTGCGGGTCCCTAACCTGTCTCCCACCTTGCCCCTGCAGGTCTGTGGAACCTCGCTTCGCTCTTCTCCAACCTCTGTCTGTTTGTCTTGATGCCCTTTGCCTTCTTCTTCCTGGAGTCGGAAGGTTTCGCCGGCCTGAAAAAGGTGAGTGAACTGTGTACTGGAATCACATTAGTTCAAAATGGAGAAATAAATATTGTTCATGTTGAACTATAAAAAAACTGGCTTAAGCAACGGTTAGGAATAAAAATTTTAATGAATAACAGCGTCTTGTTAATATAATTAATAACGTTAACAGTCATATCAGTAATACTGCTAATTGAACGACTCCGCCTGTCCACCGGGGGCGGGGGGGAGTCATCTTTGACCTTTGAGTGCATCTGTGGGCTGTGCTGGCATGGTGGGGCGCGCCCGTGAGGACAGGCACCCCGGGGGCAGCAGCAGTTGCCCCTGCCTCAGGCTCCCTCCTGCAGTTTAAGGCCTGGTGCGGACTTCTGGAATGTGTCCTGATGTGAGTTGTCTCACCTTCAGTGTTCAGGCCTGTGGCGTGTCCCAGCCTCAGCCGTGCGCTGACAGTCGGGTCCTCGAGGCCCCGTGAGCTCCGGTGGGCGGTGGAGGGGGACCCAGCAGGCTCTGTGGGAGCACCCCGTTCACCTGCCTCTCCTGGGGGTAGTGACTCCTTCTGTCTCCATGCGGCAGTTTAAAGGGAAAGCAAGAGCGTTTCTGCTTATAGTCTGTGGAGCTCTTTGCTATAACTTTGTGGAGTACAGTGCCGAGATTTGAGTAGTTAATGGTTTCTGGGTGACTTCTAAACTGGGTGAAGTGAGGTCTAGTGTGGCGGTTTATTTGCAGGTACAGCGTGCTTCTCAAGTCCTGGCTCTCTGCGCGGTGGTGTCTGGAGTGGAGTGTGTGTAACCCACTAGTGAACAGCGCCGTGACGCCAGGCTCACGGGTTTGGCTCATGCGTTGTGCATGGTGTGTGCGCTTTTGTTCCCTGTGACTTTCTGCGGGTTCTTAGAGGTGGAGTGGTTTGGCCTCACAGTTTGACGACTGTCTGGTTTGAAGTCTGATGGGCACCCGTTGCAGACCCGTGCACTGCCAGAGGCTGAGAGGAGCCCCCGGGGACGGCGGAAGTGCGAGGTTGGTGGGCTCGCCTCCCCGGTCTGCAGACACCAGGAGGAGGCCCAGTGTTCGGGAAGTGTGCCGGCAGCGAAGGGTTGGCTGTGTTTGCTGACAGGGAGAAAACTGGCTTTTTAGGTGTTGGTTTTCGTTACGATGTATCAGGTTGGGCAAAAGTTTGTTTGTTTTTTTCCCCTGTAAGATGGCTCTAAAAGTGCCTAGTTGTCTTTAACTTCATTTGAAACAATTTTGTTTGATCGTATAGTGACAGCTGTCACATCAGCATGCATTTAAGAAAAACCTTATCAAAATTGGGGAATTTTTGTGCAGCCATTTTAACATCGAAGATGAAAGAAAATACGCGGCAGTCTTGGCATATTATGCTTTATTGTTTCAAGAAAGGTAAACTGTAACTGAAGTGGAAAAACAGTTGTGCAGTGTATGCAGAAGGTGCTGCGACCGATCGAGCATGTGGTTTGTGAAGTTTTGTCCTGGAGATTTCCTGCTGGACGATGCCCCATGGTCGGGTAGACCAGCTGAAGTTGACAGCGATCAAATCAAGACCTTAATTAAAACAATCAACATTCTACCACGTGGGAGGTAGCCGACATACTCAGAATGTCCAAATCAATAAAGTTATTGGTGAACATGAAAAATGTGTCTTATTTTATGGAGAAAACCATACGGACTTTTCGGCCAACCCCATTTATTTTGTACCTACAATTGTATAGAATTCTTTCCTCTAAATTTTTTACTTCTAGTTGCTCCCTACATGACTGAAAGGATTTTTGTTTTTAAGCACATTTTTGATTATGCTACTGTCCTCTAAATCCCTCTGGGTCACCAGCTCCGTTGGGGATGGCCAAGGGGACGGACGTGGGGAATGAACGTCTCCAGGGCACCGTGCCCCCGAGTGCCTGAGTAACCCGCACACTGCCACACAGGACGGAGAAAGAGGGCGCGGGCAGCGCCGAGGGCGGCTGCCGTCACTCTGCCGCCGGAGGTCTCGGTCCTCAGTGCTGGTAGGGCCGGAGGGCGGTGGGGTTGTGGCCTGAAGCCTGCAGAAGGAGTGTGAGTGCTGGGGGTGGTCCTTGGAGGAACGAGCAGGGTGCGGAGGTGGGGGTCGCACGGCTGGGCCGCTCGCCTCAGCCGGGGCTTCTCTGTGAGAGGGGTGCAGTGTTGACGGTTGCCTGCTGCAGGGTGAGATCCGACGAGAGGAGAGGAATCGTGGAAAGCAAAGCCTGCAGCCCAGGACTTAGCTCAGCAAGCGAGAGCCGCCATTGCCACTGTCCTGGAATGGAGCGCATCCGACTGGCGAGCACTCGGTCGTGGAGAACTCTGGTGCGGCAGGGGGCCATCCGAAAACCCCAGGACGCAGTCAGCTCTTAGTTATGTACCGTCCCGGGCCATCTGTAAGATGCAGGTCAGGGTTCCCGTTTCAGAACTGCACAGATGGGGGCAGGACCCGACCTGCTTGCAGGTGTTGCGTTCTGGGCTGCGTTGGAAACGCTTGGGGAGTGTTCCAGCTTGGGCGATCACAGCCTGTTGTTCTCCAGTGCTCGCGTGTCTCCAGTTTGGAGTCACTGGCAGTGACGTGGCAAAGGCTGTTGGCACTGCCTGGTCACGTGTGGGTGTGTGAGATGCACACCGGAACCTCTCGGTGTCAGGCCTCAATGTGCTCCGAGGTCGTAGGTGTGATGGTGCGGGTCCCAGGTAGTGTGAAACCCGCAGCCCTTGCGTGGTGCCCCAGGCCGTGCCACAGCCGAGGGCGCTGCCGCTCCCTGAGGCACTCCCACAGCCGCACGGCCGGCCGGCAGGTCCATGCGTTCCCCTTTGTCCCTGAGCAGCTCGTCTAACTGGTGACGTGTGACACATTGGTCCCCAGCGATGCTGAGGAGAGCTTAGGAAACGCCTCTAATTGGAAGACCCAGCACTGCGGCGTGTGCGGTGGCAGACTTGTAACACGGCTGAGTCACAGTCCCTGCACGCCCCTCGGCCACCCTCCCGGTGCTGCTTTACTGCGTCTGAGTCTGGTGGGGGTCCCGGAGAGGCACACGGCCCCGCGTCCTCCTGCTGACTCCCCTGGGCGATCGGTTTTAAAGCGGCCCCTTGCACAGTGTGCCGAGATGCGGAAATTGGCCGCTAGCCACGGGCGGATGCAGAGCTTGAACTGAAAATCAAATTAAGCAGAATTCTCTACTTAGTTTTTAATTAAGCCACTATGTTAATTCAAACAGGACATTTTAGGCCTGGGGGGCTGACCATGTCCTTTTAAGGGCCTTAAACAGCCTTTCTTCTGCCTCCTTCCACGGCGTGTGTTTCTGTTTCAGGAGGCCGTCTCCGCGCAGCTCCTCCTCTTACAGTGCTCAGGGCGGGTAGACGTGAGTGGTTTTGAGAGAGCTTTTTTTTTTTTTAAATGAGAAGCTCACTTTTATCTCGGAACTCTAATTTACTGTTAGAAGTGAAGTGTTGCTCAGCTCTAGATTATGTCTCTGTCATAGGTATTGCATCGAGTGTTGTGTACGACCGTGTGTGTTTGAACCTGACCCCACCCTGCATTTTAATGTTTCAGCTCTGAGGAACCGGGCGCATCTGCTGGTTTTTGTTTGTTTTGTGGGGGGAGACGCTTTCTCCGCAGTTCTTCTCTCGGTCCCTGGGGCGTGCACCGGAGTGTGAGGGGCTCGGGCCCGCGGCTCCTTCCCCTGCAGCTCAGCAGGTGGCTGTGCGGCTCCTCTGCCCACAGCGCCTGGGGGGGGGTCCCCCAAGGCGACCCGGGTGGCGTCCGAGCGCGTGAGGAGCCATGAAGATGGACCCGCAGCCGAGGCCCGAGTGGGAGTCAGGGGTGCGGTGGTTTCGTACAGTAGTTCACCTCTTCCTGCAGATTGAAATGTGAGGAAAACACTCAGTAACATAATGGAAGTGAAACAAACCTCGTCTGCAGTAGACGGATTAAAAACGAAGGATGTTTCTGGGAGCAGCTTCACCCTGCGCCGCACTGCAGCACCGATATTTGATTTGAAGTCACAGCGTGAAACGTAACCCGAGTGTCAGCGACATCCTGACCAATTACCCGACGGCCCAGACAGCCCCCAACGTCCAGAGCATAGCGTGCACTCTGTGGGATTAGGAGGTTAACTCCCGAAACTTCAAACGGAGTGCTTGATAATAAAAGCAAAAAGTACAGAATTCGAGGTGACTTCCTTTCTTAATTAATTGGACCGGCCAGGTGGGGCGAGGAGCTGGGTGCCGGTGCTGGAAGGCCCATAAAGCCGAGCGCTGTGACAGCCCGCGCACGAGGGTCAGGATCGCTTTAATATGTCTCTATCCTGTGTCACAGTGTGAGACTGTCCTGGTTTGTGTCCCTCTTGGCAAACTTCCATAAAAGTGACCCTGTACTGTATTTTACGGCCAGACGGCTTTGCCCCCGTGGCTAATTCGTATCAGGCCTCCATCTTCAGGGGACGCAGGCCGGGAGGAAGCCCCGCGCGGTCGCGGGGAGCTTTCCTGGCGCGCTTTCATTATTTTTGCTCGTTTTTGCCACTGATCATCCATAAATTGTTGGAAAGGAGTGATTAAGGAAGTACTGCTTAGTGTTAGCGGCACAGGCGCACGTTGGCGGGGCTGCTGGGGGCGAGAGGAAGTCGCCTACGAACAGGGAAACTCCTGCTGGGAGGCCCCCGAGGGGCCTCGCCCAGGGTCGCGTTTTGATCTCGGGGTTTATGACAGCAGCCGGGGAGCGTGCGCGCGCTCGGCACCGCCGTGTGCCAACCTGACTTCCCCAACACCTCCGAGGGAGGACCGTTCGGCGAGTTATTAATGCGCTTCCGCAGCCCTCCCCTGTGGGGGACTGGTTTCTTCCAGAGAAACACCGGGGACCGGAGGGAGTCTGTCCCAAGTGCACGACCCCGGCGGCGGCCGCTCTGCTGCGAGGGCACGGCACCCCAGGGAGAGCCGTGCCTGTGCGGAGTTGAGGAGGAGAGCACACTCGTTCCATTTAAAACTTAGTTTACAGAGATTCCAGACAG